GCAGGGATGTCCAGAGCCATCAACCTATCGGGCCAAGGCATTTTCGACGCGAAACTTTATGTTTCCAAAAGTGTACATATTAATGAGTGAGAGATCTTTCATAACAATTACATTTGTCTAAATTTAGAAATACACTGAAATTAACTTTACGTCGTATTAAAGTGTAATTAGCACTATCCGTACGAAATGATTGAAGAAAAGTTTGGACCCATTTTTTGAGAAATGTAATATGTGTGTGTATGTAATTTACATATAAACAACGTCAGAGAAGTCAAAAATATTTTTTAAATTTTTGAAAAAACAAAAAATAGAGCAAAATGATGTTTATGTCATCTCAGAGTACATTTTGCACTATCCCTACCAAAAGTTGGAAGAAATAGTTCATCAGTTTTTGAAAAATGTTTGTATTCGTTATTTTTTTAAATTGCGTAGAAACTTTTTTACTTTACACTACCTTAATAAAAGAATGACTAGAAAATTATTTTATCTAAAGGGCATGTTTCTATCTTAAATCTTGTAGTTGTAGGAAGACGCCGAAAAAATAATTTTGCAATTTTCGAAAATTCAAAGTTTACCATGAAAATCTGACTTATGCCACATTTATATGTGTATTTTATTCTGTTCTTTCAAGAAATGTGAAAAAAATTGGATCCGGTGTTTGAGAAAGTTTTGAAAATGTCCTGGGTGACTTACATGAAAAATTACAGAATTTAATGAAGGTTTTAAAAATCGCTGAGCTTCGATTCAGGTCAGATCGACACTCGATTATTCAGTTTGGAAAAAATCATACGAATTGTTTAGGTGCTAGTGTTCACATACACCGGACGGATGAACGTTTTGCTGTCAGTTGTTTTTTCGGTATCAAGTACCCACAAATCAGGGATTCTGGCTTAATCACGTGTTAGATCATTTTATTCTTAATTTAGCGGCGGTTTATCCACATTTTCGTTATCAGGGCCTGACAATGAACTTTTTCTGCTGAATATCCGCCGTTCTCACGCAGCATTGCATAACTTTCCCTATACTACGTATAACACTCCATATGTACACGGAAAATTAAATATGAAAATTTTACTTTATTCAGCGTACTTTTCATATATCATGTAATCCACAGCAATCCTCT